GCGGACACAATACCCTCACCTTGGTGGAGTAACACTCTAGAATAACAACAAATTCAAAACCGTTGAGAAAGCAAAAAGGAAGCAGAAGGCATGTTTATTCAGAGCTATTACGGCAAAATGAAGCTGTGGAGAGCTATGTATGCCTAAGTCTTGCGCAGTGCTGACATTGAAAAATATAAAACGTCTCTTTGCGTAGTAACAACCCGGGAAATTTTGACTGACATCATCTTCCATAATTCTACCAATAAAACTTCTTAATAATATATTATCACCTGCATAAATATGATTCCATTTGGTAAATAAATATAAAATTTATGAGGTTATCATTTGTAATGCGTCTTTTGGAACACTCTGTATATATAAAATGAGCCCTCACTTTGTGACCAGATTAGATTCTATGCATTTATATTTCAAAGAGTGTAAATAAATCTAAATAATCTGTGTAGCTAAACAATATTTCATTGATTCATCCATTCATTTTTACGACTTATCAACCCTTATTTAAAACCAGAAAATATTTTTAGATTATAAGAATTGTTTAGTTAATAATGGTTCAGTGATACAAGTTTTAGTAACTTACCCATAGCTGGGGAGACTAGAGTTGGATACATACATTTCCCTAGGGGTATATGCGCGTAAGTGAATATAACGAACAGGAATTGGAACTCGGCTCTCCGATTAATAATTGCGATATATTATCCGTTACACCACCGCACGTCCAAGCTTCAAATATTCGATATTCCCAAGTGGTCACCCATCTCGGGTCTGACCCAGCTCGACGTTGCTTAACTTCGTGATCGTATGGGAACCGGTGCTTCAAAGGGATATGGCCGTAAGCCCTTTTTAAATATTATAATCTATGATCAGAACAAAAATAAAAGCGACAACGATATATTTTGTCATCTGTTAAATCCATACAGACTCTGTGTATATTTATTTGTACACTTCGACACTTTGTAATGATTAGCAAGTTTCTCTCACCATATCTGTTACTACTGAGTAGCAAGTTCGACCATCACCAGGCGCTCCATCCCTTTGGCCTCCTGACACATAAGTCCTCACTTAGTAAATAACAAGCCAAATAACTTAGCAAATGACTATATTTATATATCCATATTATTTTAAAGAGGAGGAAATAAAAGAAATATTGTTCTACAGAAGGATGATGGGAATACCATGAACCGAATATGCGAGCACCGACGATTTTTTTAGACACAATGGAAACAAAAAGAGCACTTATACTTGAAACCAGAAAGAAATAAGTGAAATTTCTAGGGCACATAATGAGGAAAGAGTGCTTGGAAAATTTGATACTCACAGGGCATATTGAAGGCAAGAGGGACATGGAAAAATAAAGCATAACCTACGTATAGAACTTGAGAAATGGATAATGGAGCTTGGCTTGGGGGAGATGGCCAAAATACAAAATTTATTAAGAGTTACACGGGAAAAGAAGTTGTGGAGGCCCATGAGCGCCAACGCATTGACGAAGAATAATTAAAACTTTATGAACTGATAAATACGCCTCCAAGTCAACTCATATTACGGGGTTGAAATTTAGTTGATATTTCAATGTATAAATATTCGTGCATGTTTGTTTAACACATCAAAATATAAAATTAGGTTAGTCTGTGTATATCTGGCCTGACCTTCAAATTTGTTTTCTTCTTCTTCTTCTTCTTCTTCTTCTTCTTCTTATTATTATTATTATTATTATTATTATTATTATTATTATTTGACTTCTCCTTTTCTTCTTTTTCTTCTTCATATTATTATTATAATTTGTCTTCTTCTTTTTCTCCTTCTTCTTCTTCTTCTTCTTCTTCTTCTTATTATTATTATTATTTTTCTTCCACTCTTCTTTTCTTATTATTTCTTCCATATTCTTCTTCTTTGTCTTCTTCGTCTTCTTATTTTTCTTCTTCTTCTTCTTATTATTATTATTATTATTATTATTATTATTATTATTCGTCGTCTTCTTCCTCTTCTTCTGGCATAATATTTATTTTATTTCTCTCTTCAAAATTGTCCTTTGTAGCTATTAGTATTTTTTGCTATCTTTCCTAAACTCTGCTCTGCTCGGCAGCAAGGCCTCTATTCGGCAGATTGGAGGTTTTGAGGAGCGTGGAACCCCCTCTTAATTGGTGCTGTTTCCAGATTCACCCTCATCCGGGGTGGTAGCACCTGTTATTATCTAAGCTATGGTGGTCAAATAACAAATCCTTCAACTAAAAACAATATACTATATAATTATAAAAAATACATTTTATAGTAAAAATACCAAGAACACTTTATATATATATATATATATATATATATATATATATATATATATATATATATATATAATTAACTGATTTAAAATATGTTTTTTTTCGCTACAAATAATGACCATGTTTCAAAAATGGAAACTAAAAGCTTCGAATTTAATTTTGTAATTAAATTAAAAACATAAGTTCCATTTTATTGTCAAGCGAATTTTGGAGTAACTTATTTTTTAAAATTTACTTAGTTTTAAAGGCACAGAAAAATTCATAATTCACTGTTTCCAAGGATAGAGAGAGATCCAATCATTCAGACAAATATATAAAATGACCAATAATTCATGTTTTTATCAAAATGACGAACAATACATTTTGTCTGTAGTTGAAGGCTTAAATTGCGTTCAAAATATATTTAGTTGAAGGAATAAAATTTTGTTTAAAATATTTAGATTTCGGTATTAAATAACCCAGCTGTAGATTTGCAGTTAAATAAAACCAACCATACAACAACCTTGTTCTGCTAAACAATTTACATAATCTCATTAGATATGTTATATACGCTGTTGTCCTATGCCTCACTTGTCTTCAATATATCCTGCAATGATGAAATTCTCCTAGCTGTTTTTCTTCGTTAAGCGCCTTACAAATTCCAATTGTCTCTTTCTGCTGCTAAGTACAAGTGTCACTTTATTTCCAGTTTCTCTAAAACCTCCTCTTTACTCACGTGTGTAGTCCATGAATTTTCAGTGTCCCTCTGTAGAACCACATTTCTCTTGCCTCAAGTTTCTTCCTCATCTGTGAGGAGGTTGTCCAACATTCATTGTAGAAGGGCTGATATTCCATAACAGTTTAAGATTCTTGTCTTTGTTTCGAACGAAACTTTCCTGTTTCTTAATATTGTCGCAACCACAATCATATAAATTCATCACCGGGGCTATTAACGAACGACCGCCGCCATGTTATCCAAGCCGTTAATAAATATTTTGTGCATGGATACCCAAATTCGTTATTGGCTTTTCTTGGCTATTTCGAGATGTGCTCTCTTGTTAAGAGCAAATTGGCTCCTCTATTTCTCATCCCTTCGTCTAGATTGGCTATTCTAATCTATCTATCTTTACGTTGCCATTTATAACTTCGTCCTGACATTTCAATGCGACACTTTGCCAAAGATCTGAATAGAAAACCACTTCCGGAAGAGCACCATTTTAAGTAGGGTTATCATCCAAAGAAAACGATCTTCCTAAAACAAACAATGAAAACATCTGTGATATTTGTTTTCCTTTTTGATTTTCCTTTTTGACAAGTTTATTTTCTTTGTTGTTCCGCTCTGTGTGTTGTTAATCTGTCGAAGTTATTATCTTCTTGGATGTCAGATTGTCCTTCTGTTCTCTGTTCATTTTCTTCTTCTTTTATATTGTCCCGGAAGACACTACACAGCTCATGTTCAAATTTTCCCCGGACGAGAGAAATGAACCGTCCAAAAATTAAAGAAGAACCGCACCCCCCCGCTCAAAAAAAAAAAAAAAAAAAAAAACGAAGGACACTTATTGGTTTTAAGCAAACATATATGATTATATAGTATATATGATTGATTGGTTCGTTTTCAACGGCTTATGAACAATTTGCAGGTTATTTAAAGCCAGAAAATATTTTAAAAATGTTATTACTATTATTTTATTTTTGAGATAATAAATTAGTGATATTAATTACCCCATAACTGGTGTGGGGAGAACATTATACCTAATCAGAATTTGATAAACAAACAAGAAATTATAATGAGGATATAAAGTGGGGGATCAATTTTATATAACATTCAATATATAAACTGATCTCTCACTTTATGACCACATCTATTTTTATACATTGATATTCCGAAGAATGTAAATAAATCTAAAAGGCATGCCTGTGTATCTAATCAGTATTTCATTGATTTATTCATTCATTTTTTACGACTTATCAACCCTTTGCTAGTTATTTAAAACCAGGAAATATTTTTTGAGATAATAATGGTTTAGAGATACAAGTCTTCTAGTTAACGTATAGCTGGGAGGAGACGAGGTGGATTCATGTCTAATCAGAATTTGCTGAACAAATAAGTAACTTTAATATGGATATAAAGTGGGGGATCCGTTTTTTGTTTTTTTTTACAATCTACAGAGTGTTCCAAAAGTAACACGCGGCAATTGTAGAAAACATACATTTGCTTAGTAACAACCAGGTAAATATTGATTGACATCATCTTCCATAATTCGACCAATAAAATTTCTTAATAATATATTATCACCTGCATAAATATGATTCCATTTGGTAAATAAATATAAAATTTATAAGGTTATCATTTGTAATGCGTCTTTTGGAACACTCTGTATATATAAAATGAGCCCTCACTTTGTGACCAGATTAGATTCTATGCATTTATATTTCAAAGAGTGTAAATAAATCTAAATAATCTGTGTAGCTAAACAATATTTCATTGATTTATCCATTCATTTTTTACGACTTATCAACCCTTATTTAAAACCAGAAAATATTTTTAGATTATAAGAATTGTTTAGATAATAATGGTTCAGTGATACAAGTTTTAGTAAATTAGCCATAGCTGGGGAGACTAGAGTTGTATACATACATTTCCCCAGGGGTATATGCGCGTAAGTGAATATAACGAACAGGAATTGGAACTCGGCTCTCCGATTAATAATTCCGTTACACCACCGCACATCCAATCTTCAAATATTCGATATTCCAAAGCGATCACCCATCTAGGGCCTGATCCGGCTCGATGTTGCTTAACTTCGGGATCGTACGGGAACCGGTGCTTCAAAGGGATATGGCCGTAAGCCCTTGCAGATATTAAAAATTAATATATTGGCCGAGTGGTTAGAACGTTCGCTTTCTGACTATGTGATCCGGGTTCGAATCTCACCACGGTTGATTTACCACAAAGGAGGGTTAACCCCAGCGTGCAGCACATTTGGAAAGTGCCTGAAAAAACATACCACGGGTTGACCCAAACCTTGTGAGTGAAATTGGGTAGACCGAAACCTTGGGGGTCGTCGATAGCTGTACTAGCACGGAATCTCAAGTCATTGTGACCGAGAGTGTATGTGCGCTTGCGTTGTTCAGATTGTTGATCATGCTAGATAGCACGCTATCTCCCAGAAACTGTAACTGTGGTCAGCAACCACACACACACACACACACATATATATATAGATAGACAAGAAAAATTCAAGGAAAAACCTTACGTTTGAATTTTCCAGCTATGAACTTAAATTTATTTCGCTGTTGGTTTGTAGCTGGAAAATTCAAATGTAAGTTTTTTCTTTGAAATTTTTCTTAATTATATTGCTCTGAAAGTTTTTACCTGGATATTCATTTCTTAAGAACTCCTTGAAATTATTCACATAACCAAAGGATTGTACACACACACACACACACACACACACACACATATATATATATATATATATATATATATATATATATAAATATATATGAAGAAAAATATACTGAAAAACAAACAAAAATCCTAATATACAAATATACTGTTTTAATGTTAATATAATGTCAACGTCAGACGTTTCGGTCTAGTCGATCATCTTCAGGACATATTCATAAAACATAATTAACATTAGACTATATTCAATTCAACATGAAAAGACGATGGACATAAGAGTAAGACTAATCAAAACAGACAACTGAAATTTTTCAAGATCAGCGTTCCGTTTCAATATGATCACGTCGGCGTCACGTCGGCGATGTTGTGAAAACGTATTCCTAAAATAGAGTATTTTGAATGAAAAATGAAAAGAATTTTATTTTAATTTAAAATTTATATGTACGTTTGTCGAGCATTAATCTTCCTAGAAAAGGGGAAATATTAAAGAAGTCAGGTCTACTGTTCACCGTGCCTGAGATAGATACTAGACCGAAACGTCTGACGTTGACATTATATTAACATTAAAACAGCATAATTGCATATTAGGATTTTTGTTTGTTTTTTCCGTATATTTTTCTTCATGCTGTCGGATCTATATCCATATATTTGCTTATATATATATATATATATATATATATATATATATATATATATATATATATATATATATATATATATATATATATATACTATGGATATCAATAATGTTAATAAATACAAATAAATATTCAATTTTCTTGTTTCTAATCTGAGTTTCAAAGAATTAGTTTCATCCTCTCTTGAGGAAATTTTATTAAAAAATTAAAATATGTCTTTTGAAGAATGGATGTAATTCCTCCTTTGCGTTCCCTTACAATGGTTTGAACCCTGACGGAGAGCCCATTGAAGACTCGAATGCACAAACCGGTAGACATAATTCACAATGTTAAAACAAAAGAAATAAAAATACATGAAAATTCAAAACATTCATAAAAATGTATGCAACCGAATAAACATAATATTCTTTCTTGTCAATGCACTTAATCCACTAGTAATATTAATACCGTAGATCGAACAATTTTTGTAAAGCTTGAAAGACTATGTCTGCTGACATATGATCCGCTGTCTTATGCATGTTCTTCTATGTGCCGTATTCCGTAGGCGTTCATGGCTCTCCACAACTTCTTACTCAACAATAAAGACAAACTGATTTATAAGAGCAAGCCGCTCAATTTACAGTATGTTTCTAGGCAGTTTTGGCAGGATTCGCCATTATAATCTACACAGCGATCATTTTATTTCTCAATAAACGCGTAAGAAGATACACCGTGAAGGAAATTCGCGCATGCGTACTCACCAATACTCATTGGCTCTATTTGTCAGCTTATTTAACGCTTCATGAAATACAGAAAGGGAAAACAATTAACTTATTCCACTTCGATGACAAAATATCCTTGTGTTCTCGCCTCTTCTTGGTAAAGATCACCTCTTATATTGAACGACGTCCTGTCAGTAAAAGAAAAAAAAGATGGAGGGTTGTGATATTGAGGATTGAGGGAAAAGGTGGAGGGGAAGTGAGTAGATTGTAAAGAGAGTGGGAGACGAGAAAAAGTCAGAGAAAAAAAGGCCAAAGAAATCAGCGATTAAAAAAGGAATAGAAGAAGAAGAAATCCGAACTCATAGAAAAGAAAGAAAATAAAGAATATTATGAGAGAAGAAGAAGAAAAAGAAGAAGCAGAAGAAGAAGAAGAAGGAAAACGAAAAGAAGAAGAAGAAGAAAAAAGAAGGAAGAAGAAGAAGAAGAAGAAGAAGGAAAGGATGAAGACATCCGAACACATGAAAGAGAAAGAAAATAAAGAATATTATGAAATAAGAAGAAGAAGAAGAAGAAGAAGAAGAAAGGAAGAAGAAAATGAAGAAAATGAAGAAAATAGCGAAGATTATTAAAAAGAAAAATAGTAGAAGAAATCGGAAATTATCGAAGGGAAAAAAAGAAAAAGAATATCACGAAAGATAAACAAGAATGAATGAAAGAAAAGCTCATAAGAAACGAAAAAAGAAACTAAAAATTATAAAGAAGAAGAAAATCCCGAACATTTGGCAGAGCAAGATGAAAAATAATTTGAAGAAAAAGAAGGAAAAGAAGAAACCGAAGACATTATGACGGATGACGAAGTATTAAAAGAAGAAAAAATCCAAAAGAAGAATATGAAAGAAAAATTGGAAGAGGAATAAGAAGGAAATAATAATAATAATAATAATAATAATAATAATCATTAAGGATGGAACTAACCCGAAATGCAGGATCTGCGGAAAATATGATGAAACTGTCGACAATATTATCTCAGGATATATGTAACTGGCAAAAAATGATTATACCCACAGACATAAGAATGTAGCGGCATATGTGCAGAGGAAGATATGCAAGAAGCACAAAATCGAAACCACTGAGAGATGATATGAAAAACAATCAAACACAGTTACCCAAATAAACCTCTGAGAAATGCCAATTCAAACTGTCAAGAAAATAAAAGCCAAACAGACCTGACATTATCATAAAAGACAAAAAAAATAAAATAATCAGAAAGTGTATGCTTATTGACATAGCAGTACCATCTGAGAGAAACACCGCCATGTAAATTATTGAGAAATTGTCAAAATAGAAGGACCTGGCGATCGAGATTAACAGCATGTGGGGAATGATGAGTGCCTTGTGAAAAAGGAATGGACAATTTTACTAACAGTATCCCAGGTAACATCAATATACAAGTTGCCCAGAAGACTAGGTACATCACATATACTCAGGAAAATGCGGTCAATTAAATGATAATTCTCCTGTAGGGCCAAAGGATATAAAGCAGAAAACAACATACTCAAATAATAATAATAATAATAATAATAATAATAATAATAATAAGAAGAAGAAGAAGAAGAAGAAGAAGAAGAAGAAGGGAAACTGCAAGAAAAAGAAGAACAAATTTGACCCGGTTTTAGATATAGAACTACCCTAACACTTTTATAGGGTTTTACATTACATTCAAAGCTAATCGTGATCAAAGACTACAGAAACAGAATGTGCTTTTTTTATTGACACGGCAGTTCCTGCAGACTGTAAAGTATCATTGAAGATCTTATAAAAAAAACTATCAAAATACAAGGATATTGAAGTGAAAATCTAAAAAATGTCGCACTTGAGGACATCAATAATTCTACTTGTGGTTAGAGCCTACGGATTGATTGGAAAATGTTTCAATATATTCACTAAAGAGATTCCTAGTAATCCATGCATGAAGAAATACAAAAAGTTGTATTCACAAGTACAGCTCACACATTACAAAGAGCTTAATCTATGTAAAATGTGTGTGATCTGCACTGGAAAATATGCAAAATTTACGGGAAGGAAACTGAAAAAAAAAAATTGTATGAACACCATCCAGACCCGGTTACAGAGATGAGAGCTATAACAATTGTATGAGACTTTGTAATACAAACAGACAGAACAAGCTTAGCTAATCGGCCAGACATCGTGATCAAAGATCGCAAGAATAGAAATGTGCTTTCTTATTGACATGGCTCTCCATGCAGATCGTAATATTTCTTTGAAGATCTTCAGAAAACTATCAATATAGTGAATATTTCGGAGACAGTAGGAAAGCGTAGTTCAGGTTAGCAGTGGATATCGCAGCAATGTAGCAGAGCGTAGTACTTCCTTCTGTCATCTTCGCCTGACAAGTTGGCACTGGTCATTCCGGTAGGATAAACAAAGATGGCCGCCTTTATACACGACGGATACAATGCTGCGGCTTCTGATTGGTTAACTATTGGGTGGACTATAAAGGGAGTTAAGTCATTTTAACTTGCTCACTAGTTATATATATATATACACACAAAACTGTAATTCCAGTTGTAGTTGGAACACTCGGATTGACTAGAAAATGATCCGATAGACTCATTGAAGGGATTACAATTAAGGAATTTCAAGATTTAATTTTGTTGTATTCGTAGAACACCCTCCCCCGGTCGTCCAAGACTTCCAACATCGCGTCTGATCGATGAAGATCGCTTTGATCTCATACCTGCCATATCCCAAGTTGTGATTTACGTTTGATCATAAGGATATCCAAGATCGAATCGTAGCAGGTATCTTCGTGTTGGACTGCAGGGCGAAAACGTACAGAAAAAAATAACACTCGAATAAATTGAACAAAAAGTTTTTTTTATAAGTTCTTAGTAAAATACTTGGTTTATATCCATGCAATTAATTATCAGCCGAACCCGCGTCTTAATCGGAAATGATATTATTGTTGATTTGGTAAAGTTTGGGTTGCTGTTTTGGTAAAGTTCGGCACAAGGCTGAAGTCGAAGGATTCTCTTCGGCAGGCAATCACGTGGGGTGCATCGCGAACGGTGGCTGGGATGAACTTTCTGCCGTCTGACGAATGCGCTTTGCGCATTCGTATTTATTGACATTCGCTCAAACTGGCGCGAGGCACGGCCGGTAAATCCCCTTTGCTGTTAGCTTAATTCATAATTCCGAGGAATTCCCTTCTTCCACTCTCTCATATTAATACCTCTCACTAAACCTACTCAGTGGGCATGTGTGGCTTATCCACCCCCTCCTGAGATTTCAACTCAAATTTCGACGAGGAGAAATCAACTCCAAATTCGTTGCTTACGAAAATGAATTTTTCGCTTTACAGCTTGCATTTTCAGATGCGTAGAACAGGTGTCGATCATAATTGTCCTCTAAGTCTTGGTCATTTTCCATTATTCAAAACCTCGACACACCAATTCCAGGTGTCGTCTATATGTGAATTAAATCGTCAGTCTTTTCCCACGGATTTTAGGTATTAACCATTCTTGTTCTAAAGTCTTCAGTATATCGTTCCTTCGATCTATAAGAAAACTTTCGTACGTTTTACCGCGGTAACAACCAATAGTATCACATTGTTACTTCTAACACTTTACTCATTTAAAAAAATAATTTGGAATTGACATATGAAATAATCATAAATCCATTATTTAGTAGTTTGAAGCTTTCTAATATAACCCTTTTCACTGCTTGTGGTCCATTTCGACAGACTAGCTGAAGGGTATCTAGAGGTCATCCCTGAAAACTAGAAACGTCCTGAAATTTGTATTATTTGTCTTAGACTTTTCGCTTCAAACAAGACAAAAAAGCCACTAAGACGCAAATGGTTAGTGAGTGTATATGATAAAAACTACTATTAAGGATAGAGGACAACAAACGAACGAGAATTGAGAAGACGGAAAGAAAGATTGACATTGCTTTTAAATTTTTGAACATCAGAGTTAAGTGGGAAGTAAGAAGCTGGGAGAAAACACATCTTAGACTTTTTACCCCAAGCAAGACAATAAAATCACTAAGACGCAAGGTGTTACTGAATGTTGGAGAATATGCGAAATATATTAAGGAGAAAGAAAAATAAAGTGATTAATTCCTTTCTAATAAATTTTGATTTTCTAAAATTTAAATATAATGTCAATAATCATTTTCGATCTCCTTAATTTTTCTGTTGCTTTATTGCCTTCTGTTCTTAATAATGATTTGGCAACATCAGACCTTCATGCCCGCCAAAAAAGTATGTTTTTTGACACCGCTATTATTTTAACTACCTTCACTCCTCAGCAATGTTTATTCTTTTATAAAACAATGATTAATATTGTAATAGACTTATATTTAGAACATTCTAAAATGAATGCAATTAAAACTAATGCAATACAATATTTATCGTTCATCAATTTACAAATATATAAATATGAAAACAATTTCCATTCATAAATTTATAAACATTTACTGAATTATTAAAATATCTGTACAAACTGTAAAGAAATCCTTATTTACCATTTTGTAAAGTTCCAATCAATTGACAATTAGACAATGTTTTGCCTATAAACAATAAAATAATAAAGTAAACGATTTAATAAATAAATATTCTTATTATTATTATTTTTGTTGTCAATTCTCAAGAACAAAAATAATGTATAAATTCACTTTCATATGTTTAGGTTTGATTACAATTCTAATCATCGCTTTTTAAAACAATAAACATTAGCGCGGAGTGAATGTCGTTAAAATATCTAACGCAAAACGGGCGGTCCAAGTTTATCCTTGACAGCTTCAATCGTCGGGTGGGACCTAAAAGCAGAAGAACAGACAAACTCCTCCAGGACACTCTGTTGGCATTGGCTCTCAGGAGTTCCGATACTGTCATGAATGTCCACTTCTGACCAAATCTTGCGTTGCGACCGCCTTCAACTGTGCGTTGCATAAGTGTCTTGTATAATCGTCTTGCAGAGTCTGTTATGCCGTATGACATGGACAAACCATAACATCTTCCTACAGTTAATAGTGGCGATTCCTGCAGGCCCACGGGACTTTTGGTTTGGTTTGTTTTGTTTTACGGCATATCAACACCTCAATGGGTCATTTAATGTTGACAACTTTTTTTTTTTCCTGTTAATATTTTTGTTTTGTCAAAAATCTATTTTTGTTAATATTTTTTCCTCAAAAATATATAGCTGGTAATATTATTTTTTCAAAAACGTATTGTTGGTAATAGTTTTTTCTTCAAAAACGTATTGCTGGTAATATTTTATAATGCTTTTTAACTCAGTTTCGGGGTTAACTATTTGCCCATAGCTGGGACCCTAACAGGTGCTACCACCCTAGGTCATGGTGGACCTGGGAACACCAGCAATTAAGAGGTGGTTCCACATTCCTCAAAACCTCCTGATCAGAGGATTTGCTTTTGGATATAGTTTATCGTCTTACCCAGGACGCGGATGCAGTTTATCGTCATACCCAGGACACGGGACTTTTGTCCTTGCTACTTTTGACATAGTCATTTTATATACTCCTAGAAGGAGATGCGTAGGAGCTTTGTCAACCATTTATTCCCGAAAGCCTGGATTCTTTTTCCTTTCTCGACCAGGCGTGTCCACATCTCACATCCCTAGAGAAAGATGGATACCACCAGCGATTTGTTGAGATTATATCTATGTAATTCATTATAAATTGTTGATCCGACACTTCTTTCTTTCTTTCTTTTTATGTGCCATCTCCTTTCAGGACGTAGGCGATCATGGCTCTCCACCACCCTCTATCCCTTGCCAGCTCTCAGCAAGCACCTTCCCTCTGCTTCCTCCCCCAGACCACGTTCTGTCATTGACCTGCTCAAGCCCGTCAGGTATGACACGCGCTGCTTTCTCTTATCTTTCCTTCCCTCTATTCGACCCGGGAGTATCAGATTCTCCAGGCCCTCCTTCCTCATCATGTGTCTCAGAAACTTCAGCTGCCTCTTTCTGATGTTAAGTATAAGCCTTCTCCTTGTTAGTAACCTATCTAAGACCCCATCGTTGCTCATATGTTCGGTCCATGTTATCCGTAGCATCCTTCTGTAGAACCACATCTCTATCGCCTCAAGTCTCTTCTTTATATTTGAGGAAATCGTCCAACATTCGCTGTCATAAAGAAGGACAGATGTCACGTAACAGCTCAGTATTCTTTTCTTTGTTACCAAAGAAATCCTACGTATCTAAATTATACAATGTATTACGTTGGTGCAAAAATAATGACGTAATAATGTCGTTTTTTGACGTATTTTTTAACGTAAAAAACGACATTCTTACGTCATTATTTTTGCACCAACCTAATACATATTTACAATCTGGTATGATATGAAAAAAATTAAAAATAATTATTGTTTGGAATTGGATAAAGTGATTAGAAATAATCAACCCCAGCCGCTAAACATATTATCTTCTTTTAACCGTATTTTAGTATTTTTAGTTGATCATGGCTCTCCACAACTTCCTATCCATTGCAACTCCAATAAATGTTATCTCGCTTATATCCTTTCTAATATATTTTGTGTCATCCATTTATACAAATCTGTTATATATATTATTAATTGTTTTTTCATCATTTTCAGTAGGTCTTGTGAATATAAGTTTTCTTATCCTTATTTCCTGATTATATATCCCAGAAATTTCATCCGTTTCTCATTCTAAGTATAAATGTCATTTTGCTTTGAATGCTCCCTTTGATAGCCAGTTCTTTTCTTTAGAACCATGTCCTTGTTACTTAAAGTCAGCTCTTGATCTATGAGAATATTACGCAACATTTTCTACTAAATCAATGAATTACGTAGCAGTTCAACACATTTTTGTTTCAAACGAAATTTTCAGGCTAAACTTAGTAAATAAAATAAATCTATTTCCAAACTATAATTTTTTGTGCATCTGACGAATTACATTACAGCTAATTTTATTTTTCACTTTCTAGAAACAAAATGGAGTGAAATAATAAAAAAAAACAACCATCGCTTTCCAAAATTAAACTAAAAAAAAAAAAGAAAATGGCGTGAAAAACGCCTTCCAAACCAGACGACCCGCCATATTGGATCACTTCATCATTAATCATTTCGTCTATCTGCTTGGTTGTCTGAAATTCCGTTAAAGTGATTGAAGAGGAAATCAAATAGCTTTCATTACATCCTGCTTGTTAAGGAATCATTAGCAAAAAGCTGATCGCTTTATCTTAATACAATAAATGCCCGACGCATGCCACCTAACAACACTGCTTTACCGACGCTAAAGTTATTTTATTTTTTGTTCGCCTCAATTGTAATTTTGTTTTAAATTGTTTTTCCTGGGTCGCATCATCTAATTTATTTTGTTTTACTTTTTTTTACATTGTTGTACGAATTGGCAACATTGATTTTTTTTTTGTTTATTCTTTAAAAGTCTGTTCTCTTTGTAGCGATTGTAAGCAAAATTTTTAAGTTCGTTTTTATTCATGTGTTATTTTTTTTTCTGTGCCACTAATCTAAGATATATCCCGTGTAAAGAAAGTGCCTGATTATTTTTCAAATGTTTATTTGTGTGTTTGTTTAGAGCAGCGTTTGTTTGTAGAGACGATGAGGGAGGTGATGACGGTTGCAAGGATAAGCTATAATTATTTCTGATGTTATTCTTCAACTGTATGCTACCATACCAGGTCATTAACAGACACCGCGGTTAAGACAGGCTAACCACACACATACGCACAACCGCACGCGCACACACAGAGACACTCAGATATATATATATATATATATATATATATATATATATATATATATATATATATATATATATATAGGTATCTCCACGAAATTGCAAAAAATAGAGCATAGTCTGATGAAAAAAGACGCCAAAATTTATGAAAACAAAATTTTATCGTCAAAATGCTTATGTTTTTATGAATTATTTTTCAAAATTTTTCCATCTTTTTAGAATATTCTAAATTTTGATTTAAAAAACCTTGTTTATCTTTTTTGCAATAAGGAATACTAAATAACATAGATAATTTTTAGCGCGTTTTTTTGGTATTATACCTATTAATTTGGAAAATCTTGCAAAAATAAAAATAATTGTCAGATGTTAATGAAACTTTCAGAAAATATTCACAGATGATCGAAATTATTATGAATATGTTTTTTTTTATTAAAGTCATGGCAGAAATATTATTTTTTATATTTATTAACACCCCCATATCTAATTTTATGAAAAACTCAAAAAAATCCATACCATCGGTTTTTAGTGATTACAGTATTTAAAGCACAAGGCTTTGAAGAATGTAAATCATGTTTTGTTTTTTTTTTTTTAGTTAACCCATTACCTGAAAATCAGCTCTGAATTGTAACATACAAAACTCAATAAAAACAAATATACTATTTAATCTCAAACGCTTTTATTTGTTTTTATTTGTTCGTATGAATATGGACAATATTTTCTGAAAGCAAAAAATTTTTTCAATGAAAATTGAATTTTTAATACAATTATTTCTCATTTCTTTAATTTTAAAGCGAAATTTTAAAACTTTTCATTAAATTTTTAAAAATTATAAAATAAATAACAGTACCATCCACCTTTTGTACTTCTCTTTCTTAGCTCGTCATTGTCTAGGGATTTGAAAATTGTATAATTTGGACCAATCCGATGATACCCACTAATGAAGAAATGTAATTATGTTTTGATAAAAAGCGCTTAAATGGTTTGTCATTAAAAAGTACGGAAGGTCACAAGCTATAAAACGTCACGTGGCTTGAGTGTAAGTGTAGATTTCATTATTTATAGTATTTATTATCTTTAGAGATAGTATCAACAAAGTTATGTTTTAAGTTCCAGTAATAATAAAATAACAAAATAAAGGAAATTGGAATGCTATTTTTTTTGTTTTTTATTATCTACTAATTACGGGGTAGTACATAAGCTGATTCACGTAAAAAAAAAACAAAAAAAAAACGTTACGTCACGTATGACCATCCGTATGATAACGCGAATCTCACGTTAGCTGTCGATATGTGATGACAGGCATCACTCAGCATGTTCGGTAATGGATACACACTGCTGATTAGTCCGAAAACAGGACGAAATGGCCGTCCAGTGAATTCTATTGAGAATTTTTCTAGTCTCAATGAATTACTTAATTATTATATATGTTATCATTTTAAACCTTGGATAATCATGTTTGAGTAGACGTCCCGTTTATTTATTAAACAGTATATTTGTTTATTTTCATCTACCGGCCTAAATATTCGAGAAAACTTATTAAAGTAAAAAATTCGCTCTCTAGCAGGAATCTGCGACCCTCGTGTTGAGAGGGATCTACCATTAAATTCGATGCGCTTGGACCAACTGAGCCACAAATATCGGATCAGTCAAGCTAAGTCGAAATTGTACCTTTAAACGAAAACTTCTCTCGTCACAGATCTCCGAAATTTTTCATTTTTTTTTTATCCCTTTAAACATTGTTTTTAATGGATACACGTATTTGAATAGACGCTCCGTTTATTTATGAACCATTATGTTTATATATTTTCGTCTATTGGCTTGAATGTTCAAGAAATGTTGTTAAAAAAACATTTCCGCTCCACTTTGTTTCTCTCTCTCTCTCTCTCTCTCTCTCTCTCTCTCTGTATATATATATATATATATATATATATATATATATCCTAAAAAGCCAGGAATTACCTACCTAGGTTTCAGCTAAATGGATCTTCAGGGTAAACTGGCTGAAGAGTTTGATTTGTAATTTCATGATAAATTGACCTCGACTCCTAGTGGGTGGGGAATAAAATATACACATACAATATAGGTATACATACATTGACTTGGTGTAATGGTTAACAAGCTTGTCTCGCTAAAATAGGAGGTTCGATCTTCACCAGACGCCTGATAATTTCATCCTTTAGCCACATCTAAGCTATGCTTAGATAATCACCATATTCATATGTTCCTTTCCATATCCTCTACAGAACAGTTTACCCTGATGAGACGTTTAGGTGAAACCAGGGTAGGTATTTCCTGGCTCTTTAGGAGGTTTTATTTTCTGCGCTTTACTTAGTCTATTGTGTACTTTACTTTTTATCTTAGTTACTCGATTGTTTTTTTTTTTCTTTGAACTGGAAATTAAGGCACTGGATGATTTTTATCGCACTGCTCGGATATTTCTAGTTCTTTCTTTTTTTTCCCCCCAGATACCAATTTGTTTCTATATATTTGTTTCTGCGAATCACGTCATCAATTTTAATTTCATTTTTCGTTTCATTTCATTTTTGGAAGTGCTATCTGATGATCCGACGTCCTTTAAAAGGGCTCCGGTGAAATAAATTATTACAATGGTACCTTAAAGTGGTCTGTTTTCCTTTTTTAACTATATATATATATATATATATATATATATATATATATATATATATATATATATATATATATATATATATATGTATATGTGTGTAAATGAATAAAAGATTGTCTTTTTACAGATATATATATTTTTTATATTTGAATTAACACACACGAAAGCAACGCACACACACACACACACACACACACACAACACACACACACACACACACATTGAGCTCTCAGAATTTCATGCTCCTTGGGATTACCCATACGGATTACCAAGTTCTTCATAACTTATATATATATATATATATATATATATATATATATATATATATATATATATATATATGTGTGTGTGTGTGTGTGTGTGTGTAAGTATGCATTTCTGTATGTATGTTTTATGAAATTTGTCGTTCTGAGGAAATACCCTTTATCCGTGACGAACGAATTTATATTTATATATATTTTAAGTATTTCATCCCAAGTAAGACGGTAGTGCCACTGGTTCATAGGTGGGGTTGGGGGTTACATGTAAAGTTGAGTGAAAAACTGTATATAGGGGGAAGCAGATAAACGGAAGGGAATTGCACAGGTGGGAAGTGAAAAAAAGAAGAAATGGTGGTGACATTTAACTACTTCTACGGTAAAATTGTAGCAACTAGATACTAGTCTAGTAGCACGCTTAAATTTATGCCGTCAGGGCACCATGGAAAAAAGCTCGACAGAACATTTGTCATGGAAATATTTGCAGAAAAGACAAAGGAAGGAACATCCCGTCTGTGAGTAAGTGTCTGGAGTCGTGATACAAAGTCAGATTCGATTACATTGGAGATTCTTCTTTGGATTTCGTCGAGATGAATAATATAAAATATAGTACATTGAGTGCCTGTGCTAATAAAATAGAGCTCCATTTATGATAACAGAGCTATAACTTATATTATTAATAGATATATATTTTCCCTCACCGGTAATATAACACTGGGTTTCATACAGAATGCAATCGTCAGTTGCTGAGTTAAAACAGACCACAGATTTCAATTAACACCTGGCTGTTAAGACCAGAGACCTAAGGTCAGAAATGGCATCATGATATTTTCCCTGAACATTTTTTAACCTAGGAGCACTCATTTTTTACACTGATAAAAGCCCTTCGTAAGGTGTGAGCTGTACTTGTGGGAACGATATTTTATACTTCTTAAAGGCATGGGCTATCAGGAATTCCTTCAATGAGTTTATCGGAAGCGTTTCCAATCAATCTTCTGGAATTATTGAGATGCCACACTTTTGAAATTGCCGCTTCAAGATCCTTGTATTGTGATAATTTTTTAAAGATCTTCAAAGATGCATTACAATCTGCAGGGTGTGCCATGTCAATAAAAAAAATAACACATTCTGTTTTGCGGTCTTTGATCCCTACGTCTAAGTGATTTTCTTTGATTGTTCTCTGTGTGTGTATAGTAAATTTTTTTGTTACGAGTTCTATGCCTGTAACCGCGTAATGTTCATCCCAGTATCTTGTAGTTTCCTTCCCGTAAATATTGCAGATTTTCCAATACAGATATTGGCCCATTCTATCATGCCGTGTTTTATATTCAGTTGGTGCTAATACCGCGCAAACTGATAAAAGATGGCGAATTGTTTCTGGATATTTATCACAGAATCTGCATTTCGGACTAACTCACTTTTACAGTATGTGTGCTTGGTAATTTCTAGTTAGCATTTGTCCTGCGCAACACGAATAAAACACCTCGATTACAGCTTTTAACCCTGTAATACATAACCACTCATGGGTACTTGGTTTGGCTACATCAGCTTGTTTCGTACGGGTAGAGTATTGACCACGAAGACGCTAATCTTGCTATCATTTCTGCATTTGGTACATTGTAATTGCTTTTACTTTTTTTTTTTTAGGTACTTAACCACTGCAGTAGGTGTATTAAGGTTTATTTGCCCTTCTTTACCCACTTAAAATCCACTTTTGAATTTATTGGATTCTTTTATTACAGAATAATATTTCTTATTTCTTCTTCTTCTTCTTTTTCTTCTTCTTCTTCTTCTTATTATTATTATTATTATTATTATTATTATTATCTACCCATTTAATATCGTTGGTGATTTGCGTCTTGAATTGTTCCAACATACAAAAAAATCCTTTTATTTCTACGATAAAAACAAAAAAAAAAGCATATTTCTTTCTTGTAATCTGTGACACATTATTCTCGTTTTGTTTTGTTTTGTTTTCAAACGGCAATTCATGTTGTCAATTATTTTATTCTGGAATAGTTACAATCGAAAGAGAAAGCTTAAAAAATCGTTTTTATTTTTCCCGACAATCCAGGACTATTTTTTAATCTTTTCATTCCAAGTTTGTATTTTTTTCGCTTTTATATTTGACAGTAACGTTTTGCTACACTATTTTTTATCGTTGTTTTTCAAAGTCGTCGATATGTGACTGATTTCCATCTATTAATTCATTTTCTTCTTCTTCTTCTTCTTCTTCTTCTTCTTCTTCTTCTTCTTCTTCTTCTTCTTCTTCTTCTTCTTCTTCTTCTCTCACATTCTCTCTCTTACTCTCCCCTCTTTATTTCTCTTTATTTCACTCTTTTCTCTCTCTTTACTCTCCCTGACTCTCTCTCTTTCTCGTTCTCAGACTCTCATTCTCTCTCTCCATATTTCTTTCTCTTTTTCTCTTTCTCACTTTATTTCTCTCTCACTCTTTCTCTCCCTCACTCTCTATCTTTCCCTCTCTCTATTTCTCTCACTCTCACCATTTCTCTCTCACCTCTCTATTTATCTCTCTTCGTTCATTTTGTTTTAGAATATTCCTTGGTCTACGCCAATCACCGTCATTTTTATCATGAGTTTGTTTCTTTCTATCTTTTAACTTTTTTCATTTTCCTTTTTATCGATTCCTTTGGTTTTTTTCTGCTCTCTTATCATTCATTTCCATGATTGCCTCCCCCTTATTACTACTCACCATTTCTTTATTCCTTTCTTTCTTTTCTTTTTTTTTCGTAATTTTTCCCAGTTTATCGTTTTTTTCTTTTTTTCAATTTACGCTTTCTTCCGGTTTTAGTTTTATTTATTTTATCTAATTATTTATTTATTTTATTTAGCTTCTTGCTTATTTTATTTTCGTTATTTCTTTCTCAATTTTCTTGTCCATCTTTCTTGCGTTCTTTCTTTCTTTCTTTCCTCTCTTGTCTTCTGCTATTTTCAGTCGTTCTTTCTTTCTTTCTTAGTCATCGTCTTCTTTCTTTCTTTCTTTCTTTCTTTCTTTCTTTCTTTCTTTCTTTCTTTCTTTCTTTTCCTCCTACATTCCGCTCCCTCTCGACCTTTCTTTCTTTCTTTCTTTCTTTCTTTCTTTCTTTCTTTCTTTCTTTCTTTCTTCACCCATTGTCTTTCGTTCGTTCTTTTATTCTTCCCTCTTTTTTATTTTCTTTCCTTCAATTTTATTCTCATTTTTCTTCTGTCTGTCTTTCAATCTCTATCTCTGCTTTCTTTCTTTCTTTCTTTCTTTCTTTCTTTCTTTCTTTCTTTCTTTCATTCATTCATTCTTTATTTTTCGGTGTTTACTTTAATTCTTATTTTTACTATATATTCTTTCTTTTCTTTCTTTTTTCTGTTTCTTTCTTTCTTTTCTTTTGCTATATTTCTTTCTTTCTTTCTATTTTTCTTTTATTATTTTCATTATATCTTTACTCTTTCTCTCGATTCTTCCTCCACCTTCATCGTTTTCATTTTGTAGCATTTCCGCCATTTTTCTTCTTATATTTCCTCCTGCATTTTACTAATCATCCATTTCCTAATTGGTCCTAACACTTTACAGCGATGTCGATAATTTTATAATGTACGTTTTTTTCTAAATGTTATTTTATCGAACAACAAAGTTCAAACTGACTTGTAATGGATAAGTAGTCTTAGACATTCGCAGCATCGCCTGCATTTTTTCATACATTATGATCTGCCAATCGCAAAAGTATTTTCTAGATAGGTTAGCTTGCCTAATGACCGTATTTGTTTGATTAATGTTTATAAGCTTTTCTTCTTTTTCTAACAATCGAACTGGATTTAAAGTGGAGTATCTGTTCTCCCCATCTCTAATGGTAATGTTAATATTACCGATTTCCTTATACGGAAACACTGAACATACATTGATTGAGCAGCCAGTGCTACTCAAACTATGGTTTTCTTCTCTCCCAGGCCATTGTTCTGGGATTAAAATGTAGTATCTGTTCGGCTTATTTCTAATGGTAATGGTGATATTAACAGTTTCCTTATAAAGAAACATTTGACATACATTCACTGAGCAGTCAGTTCTACTCGAGCAGCGCTTGCTTTTATTGATCCCCTTTCTTTCTTTCTTTCTTTCTTTCTTTCTTTCTTTCTTTCTTTCTTTCTTTCTTCCTTCCTTCCTTTCTTTCTTTCTTTCTTTCTTTCTTTCCGCTGTTGTCTTTCTTCTAATTTTTTCACTCGTTCTTATTTCCTTTCTTTCTCACTTTTCTTCATCATCATCTTTCTTTCTTTCTTTCTTTCTTTCTTTCTTTCTTTCTTTCTTTCTTTCTTTCTTTCTTTCTTTCTTTCTTTCTTTCCGCTGTTGTCTTTCTTCTAATTTTTTCACTCGTTCTTATTTCCTTTCTTTCTCACTTTTCTTCATCATCTTTCTTTCTTTCTTTCTTTCTTTCTTTCTTTCTTTCTTTCTTTCTTTCTTCTTTCCGCTGTTGTCTTTCTTCTAA